ACAATTCGATCACGTCACTCGAAATTTGCGGATGCGTCGGTGAATGCAGTATCTCCCCTGGTAAGTTTTAATCCTTTGTTATTGAAAGTAAAACTTTGTTTGTAATGTGTATTTACTTTAATCACTGCGTAGTTTCCTGTGTTCCTTCAGTTTTTCTTAACAATACATTCTCTTCTGATTGTGTTCGTTTTTTGGCAAAAATTTCTCTCCCCTGCCGTATTTCCCCTAGCTCATTTGATGCCAGGGTAGAGATCATAAGTCCAGGGTAGATACAGAAGTGGGATATAAGCGACGGCCGCGAATAAAAAAAGGGGAACTTGTATGATTTTAGAAATGTTTAAATAAGACTTTCATGTTTTTTTATGTCTGCAATCATTTTGTGCTCGGTACTTTGGATTTAGTAACCATTAATGCGAAACCGCGCCTTCATACTGATGATGTGTATGGGCCTGAAACTGAATCTGACGACGAACCATGTGAAACTATTTGCGTGTCACTAATATCTTATAAAAACGAAGCAACTTCAAATATCTTCTTCGCTTTTTGACGAATCAGTTTCTGAGGGGAAAAGTCAGTTTGAAGACGAACCACAACCCTCAACATCTGGGGGAAAAAAANTTAATCAACACAGTTCCTCAAAAGGGGTAAGAAATTCTTACTCAAGTCTTTTTATTTAACAAATAAGACTTTTGTTGTTAAAGTGGTTGATTAAAAACATTGGTCCTAATAACTTCCGTCCTTCCGAAGAAGTTCTAAACAATGGAGGGAAAGCTGAATGCCAACAAACTGCTAATGATAAGATGCTGTGTGATAATCTCTACTTCTTAATAAATGGATACAAGTCCAGAAACTTCAATAAAGTAATCGATAAAATTTTGAATTATTAGAAACGAAAACGTTATCATATTTTTTTTAGACTCTTTTGGAAAAAGCAATTCAAGATCATTATGGAAGCACTTCCAGTCGTCAAATAATTCATTTTGCACAACTCGCAAAAACTGGTAAGTAAAAAAAAAGAAGCCGGCACGGGATGCCTGGCTTATGTAATATAATAAATTTTATTTCCATTAAAGGAAGCGAAAATGTAGAAAGTAAATAAGGCTAATAATAAGAGAAAACGAAATCAACAAAAAATGTCGCTGGCAACGCTCAACGCATTAATTAGGTGAAGCTAAGAGCAAATGGGCTAATGATAATAGTGATAGGTCCTTACAACTTGCTAATATTTCAAATGTTAAGTCAGAGCCATGATAAGGGATCATTATTTTGAAACCAGGTCTGATGTTTCGCCAAGTGCTTTTAGTCGTTTTCAAGGATAGGTCAGGCGAAACGTCGAACCTGGTTTCAAAATAATTATCCCTTACCGTGGGCCCCGCGATCTTAGCACCTCATATGTGGATTCCTTTTTTTTTTTTAAGAACATTCAATTCTCCTATATCTCCACATCAAAATAATACAACTACGATTACGATCAGGCTATCGCGTATGAAATCGCCGCTAGAGGCGCTTGTGTAGCGTGAGGTCTTCGAAACGTCAAATGTCACTGTTTGTTTACGAGTTGGCTACGCGCGCGCTTTTATATTTCTAATTAAATGAATATTGCGAGTATTAACAATACTTTAGATTAATTATGGCAAATACAGTACAAATTTTAGTTTGTAAAGTATGATGTTAAGTTACTTAGTACATCCCTTTCATGTTTTGCCAAATTTTTAGTTATTATTTCGACAGTTACACATAATTAATTTATGTTTAGTTAATTATTTCAGAAGATAATAGGAATGTCTATGTACGGAAAGGATAAATAAAAGATTAGATGATTGATTTATTTTTTCTTTTATTTAAGTGCCTATAACTGTCCAAAATCTTTATTTACATAATATTTTTCCTGAAATTAGCCAGCATAAAGCACACAAATATGATCCTTCCTCCAAGTGGTACTAAATTAGATGACAACTTGTAACTAAGAATCTTGAATGTTTTTCCTAAACCTATGACTCGCTCGACATTTATACGTTCAGATGACAATTTCTTTGATTGTCTGAGTTGGTGTGCTTCAAACTGATTAAACCCCTTTTTCAAAAACTGTGGCATGTTTACTGTAACATCCATATGTGAAACAAGATCTTGAATATTAAACCCACGATCACCTAGGATAATGTCCCCTTTTTGAAGAAGATTTATTATGCCACACTTTTCGAACAACTCTCTGTCACTGATAGATCCACCATATGCATCTGAAACGAAGGTCACACATCCAGAGCCAGAAATTCCTACCAATACTTTTAATGTGTTTGCTGATTTGTATTTAGAATATGTAGCTTGTTGTGAAATTGGGTTCAGACTAGGCACCGCATTTGGTTTCAGTTTAGGAGTAGCTGAAATGTTTTAACAAAAAATCAAAGTAGGTATTTACTTAAAAACTTCTCAGTTTCAAGGTTCGGGAACATCAAATGGTGATATTTAGGAATAAGAAAAATCATTAGGTACTTACGATTTTCTGTATTTGATTCTTTAGGTAATATATAATCGTCAAAGTTGAAATGCTTTTTACAAACACGTGAATGTTTAGAAGGGACGTAGTTGACCCTGCGAATCACTATTAACCACTACTTTGAGATACTTTTATCTTTCGGCCTTTCTTTTCCGAGCAAAACGGAACTGCGCAACACTGTGGCATGACCAATACGTTTACATTTTAGTTCTAGGGTATTAAATATGATCTAATATAATCATCTAATAAAGATACAAGTTTTGGCGCTCGTAATACGAACTTTGACAGCCGTAGTTTAAGACCTCACGCTACAGTGGCGCCATCTGATGAAACAAAAAACGATAGCCCTGATTAGTAGATACCTACCTTTAAGAATTTGTAGAGAATAATGTTAACCAATAATTATTAATCTTCTAAATTATTTTTATATATTAATGTAAGGTAAAGAACCCAATAGGTGACACCCCTATTTTCCATACCAACAGATGACACGCAAATAAAAATTGCTAATATTAAGACTTAGGAACATTTACCTCTAAACTGCTAAAGTTGGCGACACTGCTCAGCATCATACTTGACCATCTGTGACAGTTCCCTCATTTAATAATGTAATGCATGGCGGTGACAAATATTTTTCATCTGCCCGTATTTTATTGTAGTTTACTCATTCTTAAGGAAATCATTAGGAAGGTAAGTTGGCATTGATTATATTTTTTGTATTAGACTTTAAGTTTAAATCCTTTTATGGTCTTATGAAGCGTAAAATGTGTTCTAGGTTATGATTTCTTTGTTTATTTTGATCAAGTAGGCTTAATACATTTTCTGGTGTCGGTGTCAGCTATTGGTTCCTTCCTGTCAACGAGTCCATTAGTTGACACGGGTGTCATGCTTTCGGTATTATTAAGTTGCTTTTAAGGCTAAGTTACTGAATGTTTATTTTTGTGTCTATACATACTGCTAGTAATTTTGTTGAATTTGGACAACGTTAACCAATAGATAACAAGGGACAACAAAGAAAAAAATAAAAACAAACGTCCTAAACAAGATGACATTGAATCTACTACTTCAGAGTCAGAGTCAGTTGAAAGAGCAAATTCTTCTCCATGGGATGAAGATTTTGAAGAAGACTACCACGATTTGTCCTACGAACCTGTAAACTTCCAAAACCTGATAGAGGGGGAATTTTGTGTTATGTGTGAATTTTAAGGGAGGAAACGTAAACAAACAAAATATATATACTTATGTGTGGTTGAAGATAAAGTATTAGAAACATCTATTCAAGTAATGGGTTTTAAATCCATGCACACACAAAAAGAGTTTGTACAAAATGAAAGCGACATTTAATCGGTATCTATTGACCAGGTAATCGGCAAGG